GAAATTCAAGGCAAAATTGATTCTCGAAGACTGTCAAAAAGAACCAAATATGTTGCTTATCTAGTGTTCAAATCGGAAAATCAATTCCATGGCCTTGAAACTGTTAATGCAGTTGTTAGATTTGTTGATTCTGTGAGTGAAAAAGATGCGGAGAAACGAGCTAGTGTTGTGCATTTTGCAGGACGAGGACCTAGAGAAACGCTACCCTTCAAAAGAGGTGATGGATCGATGGAATTAAAAATGGGAGACTTTTTCAATGATGCAGGAGAAGACGGATATGTTGATGCGCGATTAATGGAAACTAAGAAACTCGATGAAAAAAGTGGCCTCATTGTTCAAGGAGTGGAGTTTCATCCCGAATGAAGAAGAGAATAATCCTCCTCTTACTATGCCCTTGACCCTACTAGAGGAATATACTGATAGAGAAAATTGAATTTGATTAGACAATGTGTATTTGAATCGACATCTAGCTAGTTGTTAAACAAAATTCATGTACTTTGGTTATTTGTGTTTCTGTTCGATCCTTAGTTAAAATGACGCACTGGATTTTTTTACAGTACAAAAAGTGACGCTACATTTTTGTTTTAGAAGAGAGTATAACAACATTATGAGTATCTATTTCTTCCCAAGTAACTTAAAACAAATCAAAGCTTAAATACTACGATCTTTAATTTTCATATCAAATTATATCTCATGAACTTTTAAAAATAACTATCTCAAGTTTTTTGTCATTTTAGGAATTCAAGATAAAATTAATTATTTTTTTTCATATTTTATCTAAAGAGTAATGTTCTTGAAACTACAAATACTTCAATACATAAGTAGAGAAAATATTTAATTTAAAGAGATTATATAAATAAGTAAGAGAAATTTTATCTGATGCCGTAGGCTGGCAATTAACCTCCATTATACATGGGAGGGTGCCCGCCTAGTGTCATTGTGCATGTATTAGATCTCGCACAAGTAATATCATATTTTATGAGTTGAAATAGGAAGATGATAAGAAGTTCCCATAAAAACTATCAATAGTTTTTACGATGCTTAATTTTTTGAGTTTTAGAGGTAAAGATACTCGTAGAACAATAGTTTTAACGGTATAAGTATACATAATTTTAAGTTTACTCAAAAGAGTGGTCCTAATAAAATATTAATATGGTCATCTTCAAACTTTTACATTGACATTGGATACACAACTCCAATTAATTGGTCCATATTGAAGATATCCATTACTAGGCCTACAAATTTAGTAGTACTAGAGAAATTCCATCCTCAAATTTGGTGGAAAATATCAAACATTAATCTTTCAATGTCAAAACAACTTAGAGTAATTAATTAATAATCTTATCAGATTACCATAATATTTTGTTATTCAATAGTACTATATATTTAGTTTAGTTTCTAACGTAATAACTAAAATAGGGGACCTTTGTAATTTTGTATCGTGGCACCTTTATCGAGACGACATGTTATTTGTCTCTGATTGAGCCTGATATATGCTTAGGCAAAATTTTCATCAGAAACTTTATCATTTACTATATTTGAAATCGATGATATTGTATCTATACGTCGCAATAGACGATGGTTTAATTATTAGTCCAAGAAAAATCATCGTTTAGTGTATTGCACACCAATTTTTCATCCCAGCAGACTATTTTAGAGAAAAACTCCATTCCTTTTAAGTTGTCATGGTTTTCTTTTTTAGATTCAAACGATAAAAACTTTGACTAACATTTTACGATGTATTTTTTATCATATTGATATGCAAAAAATTGCAATTTATAGTAATTTTCGTATAGTTTTTGAATATCTAAAATTTTAATTTTAATTATCGATTTAATATAATCTAATTTAACTTTAAAAATTAGTCAAATTAACTTTCGAAAAACGTAATATTACAACGAAAAAGGAACGGAGGGAGTATCAAACATATGGTATTACTTAATTGTGCGAGATCTAATATACGACTACGTACACTTAGAGGTCGTTTGATTGGGTGTATAAAAATATTGTTAAATAGAGTGTATTAGTTATGCTTGTATTAACTATACATAAATTATTTTTTATGCATTGTTTGGTTTGGTGTACAAAAAATAACATGAATTGCATAAAAAAAATCATTTATAAAAATATCCTCCACAATTAAGATGGAAAACATGTAAAAAAAGGTTTTGAGGGGTAATTGAGTTTTTAACCATACTAATACATGTATTGAATCTCTTTGTGTTACTAATACCTAGAAATCAATGATATTAGTAATACACTCTTCCATACACAATAAAGTGTATAGCTAATGCATGCAAACAAGATACTACTAATACACAGAGTTATGAATTTTGCAAAAAGTCAAAGTTGGCATCTTTGTATGGGACGGCTGACCTAGGGTTTTAAGCCAGCAGCTGCGCAGCTCTCATGGCTGCTACGACCACTGGACGGCCTCCTTTCGAGGCTGTCCAGCCCGCCCCACCACCCCAAACCACCACATACGCCACTCTTTTCAATTCCAATACTATAAATCCTAAACAATCTGCCCTAATTAAATAAAAAACAATCGCAAAACCAATCGAAATAATTCATGGAGAACCTACTATCACGTTTTCAATGGAGGAAAGGCAAGACTTTATGATTGAAGAGGGATTGCATCAAGCAGTGGTGTTTAAATTATCCCATGGTGCGCGAAATTTGAAGGTATTAAGGTCAATTTTACCGAAACATCTTGGTACCAAGGGCAATTGTTTAATTGGCTTACTTGCTCCAAGACAAATTTTGTTGAGATTTGATCAATATGAAGATTATGTACTAGCATTATCTCGCTCAGTTAATTATCTTCTCTACAATGGAGAGGAGCACCAATATAGGGTTTTTCCATGGTCCATTGGATATAATCCTAAGGAGGAAACGACATTAGCTGTGATTTGGATTTCTTTACCAAATTTATCTCCAGATTTGTTTGCAAAGAAGTCTTTGTTGTCTATAGTATCGGCAATTGGGAAACCAATAGCTATAGATAAAGCTACTCAAATCAAGTCAAGACCTAGCACAGCTAGGGTCAAGGTTATACTTGATCTAATGGAAAAGCTTCCAAATCGTATAAGGTTGCAGTTTGTGGATGGAAAATCTGGTAAGTTGATCGAGGTTTTTCAGGAGATTGTATATGATAATCTACCTTTGTATTGCAATTATTGTAAGCACCAAGGTCATGATGAAGATAGTTGTCGTTTGATCTCAAAAAGAAATCAAAATAACAAACAAATTGATGATACCATTGAAGTTGCTACAAAAGGTACTATTGATAGTGAAAAGTATCAAGGTGATGCGAGAGAAATACTAAATGAAAAAAGAAAGGTTGTAGATATCAATCAAAGTAAAGCTACTTTGTTAGATCGGCAGTTGGTTGATGTCCCTTCTGAGCAAAATCGTGCACACTCAATGGATGTTGTTACAAGTAATATTGGTGTTCAAACAACGACCGAAAACAAAAGGGGAACGCCAAGAGTTGGGGTCGATGTGCCGCAAGTTGGTTCAGGCAAAAAAATAATGGATTCAGGACACAAACTAATGGATACATCTGATGTTGAAGATGCTGAAAATTCTGGGCAGCATGTTTTGCAAGTTGAAACCAAGAATGCAACTAAAAATTGGACACTGGTTGCACACAAAAATTCAACTAGTAATCGGAGCCTTTCCCCGACTAGTCAAAATAATTCTCCATGTAGTGAAAAGGGTGCGACTGGAAATTTTTATGACAGTGAGAAGAGGCAAGATATTAGTAATGCCTCAAGAGACCTATTATGTTCGAATAGCTTTGATGCTTTATCGAAGATTACTGGACAACAAGTAAAGTTAACAGAGAATGACAACGATTTGATCAAAGAAAAGCAGGTCTCACCACCTACTTTGAATAGCAAATTAAGTCCAGAAGCTCCCGTATTTGTGCCTAAATGTGTGATTGCAAAGAAAAATGAGTCAAGGGTCTTAGTGTCAAATACAATTGATTTGGGCGAGGATTTTCTTGATGAAAATGAGGAAGACAATATGCTTGATTTTGGCGAGGATTCTCTTGATGAAGATGAGGAAGATATGCTGGACATGTGCTTTGATAGAGTGGCTAGGGAAGGAGATATATCACCTAGGCAACAAAGAAGTAGAAGCAACAAAAGCAAAAAGAAGACACATGGAAGGCAACATAGTTGGGACGGTAAAATGACTGAGGAGTTTGTTCCAAGGCACCTACCGATGCGACAGGCAAAACAGAACCATTTGACAGTATCAATAGGTTCAACAAGGTCCAATAAATCCATAAAGAAAGTATGAATTATCAAGTGTTGTTGGATAAGTTTGAAGAAGAAGACAAGAGAAAAATACTTCAAGTTACTTTTGATGGGCAATCAATCTTTTTTAATTCATGCGTTTGCAATAGAAAGTTTGAGGCTGATAACTCAACTTTCTTCTTGATTGGCATATTTTTACATTATTTAAGCATCCTCATTTGTAATATCATCATGGAGTGTATTACAAACTCTGTGGTGATCAGAAAATACTTAGTTCTCTCTAGCTCTTATTTTCTTCATGCTTGTTAGGTAGTAGACACTTCATTAGGATTAGTAAGGTAAGGCCTAGCCCCCCTTGCTTGCACTTATCCCTATTGATATTTTTTATGTTTAATAAAAGGCCACTAGACACTATCTAGTGGTAAATTTGCGGAAAAAAAAATAAAAAATGCATGCATTATTTTTGCTAATACACTCCACCGACACCTCAAGACTTTTCTTGGCTTTTTTGGCCAAGGGCTAAGTCAAAAGTCTTCTTACCTGTATTTTGTACGACCTCACTAATGAAAAAGTAGGTTACATTTTCATGACTTTGAAATAGAATTATAGAAACATGATAAGACCATAAAGACTATGAATAAATAGTGAAAAAATTAGGTGAAAGTGTTGTTCTTCATTAAGTTGAGAATTTCCCTATTAGTTTTTAGCAATTGTAACTAATACTCTTCAACAATGTCAAACACTTCTTCTTCCAAAATTCAAAAGTACGATGCTTTTCTGAGTTTTAGTGGTGTAGATATACGTAGAACATTTGTGAGTCATCTCCATAACGCTTTAATACAAGGAGGAATTAATGTTTTCAAAGACGATGAACGTCTAAAAATTGGAAAATCAATTTCTGATGAACTACCAAAAGCCATAGAAGAGTCTAAATTTGCTATAGCGATATTTTCTAAAAGCTATGCATCGTCAAAATGGTGTTTAGACGAGCTTGCACACATCATAAAGTGTCGAAAGGAATTGGATCAAATCGTAATTCCTATTTTCTATAATGTGGATCCATCAGATGTGCGTCATCAAACTCAAACTTTTGCTGAGTCTTTTTCCCAACATGAGGAAAAATACAAAGACGATATCGAGAGGATTCAAAGATGGAGGGATGCATATATCACATCATTTGCAAATCATAATTCCTTTGGAATCGTTAAATTAAAAAATAAAGCATTTGAGTACTTTGTGGAAGAATTTGTCCTTAAATAGAATAAATATTCATCCTTAATCTTTCAAGAGTTATGGACCAACAAATCACATTATTTTCAGAAATTTGCACTATTGTATATTTTTATTTCATAACCTAAGTGTGTAATAATATGATGTGATTTTTTTCAAATTGTTATTTTTAATTAGTATATGTTTGCATCATTGCATGTGTACATTATATAATTGGGTAAACAAATAATTGGTGCGGGGTTGGTGAAACATTTACTTGTGCAATTTAATTTCCTTTGATTCAGAAAATTATTGAGCTATGTTGACTTTCTAAAAAAATATATATTAAGGCATAATCCCAAATTCATGGATCTTGATTCTTGAGACTACTCGGGGGAGCTGATTACAAGGTGAGGAATCGAACCATCATCAACAAGGTGAAATATCAGATAGTCAATTAACTGAACTACTAAGATTTCTTGAGACTATCCGGGGGAGATGATTACAAGATGAGGATTTGAACAATCATCAATAAGGTGAAAGATCAAATAAACAATCAACTGAACTACTAAGATTTCCCGAGACTAATCTAAATCCATATACCAATTAATGATTTTATTTCGCTTCATTAAAATTCCATTATCTATTGAAACACCGTCATATAAAATGAAACAGAATGAAGTAGGTACTATTGTTAAAACTATTGCAAGTTTGCAACTATAAAGAGAGGATTGATCTTTTTCATATTGTCTATTGACTAGCAATGGCTTCTCCATCACAAAACACAAAAAGTAGTCTTGTCCATGTCTTTCTTGTCTCATTTCCAGGTCAAGGCAATGTTAACCCTTTTCTCAGACTAGCGAAACGCCTTGCTAGCAAGGGCATGTTGGTCACTTTCTCTGCACCCGAACATGTTGGCAAAGAGATGAGAGCTGTCGATGTGAACTTGATCATCGATCAACCAACTCCTTACGGAGATGGTATGATCAGGTTTGAATTCTTCGAGGATGGACCCTCGAATCAACCCATTATCGAGGATTTTGACTTGAGGATGAAAATGCTTGAGCAAGCCGGACGAAGGAACTTGACTAAAATCCTGAAGAAACAGGATGACGAAGGTCGTCCTGTTTCTTGTATAGTCAACAATCCATTTTTTCCATGGGTATGTGAAATTGCTGAGAGTCTTGGAATACCTAACGCGTTGCTTTGGGTTCAATCTTGTGCTTGCTTTTCGATATATTACCATTATAATTTCAATCTAGTGCCTTTTCCAAGTGAACTCGAACCTGAAAAGGATGTCGTCCTACCTAACATGCCTGTTTTGAAATATGATGATCTGCCTACGTTCCTACTCCATTCAAGTGGATTCGAATCAGTGTTGAAACGGATTATGTTGGATCAATTCAACATTTTGTCCAAACCTTTTTGCATTTTGGTGGACTCATTCCAAGAACTTGAAGAGGAGGTGGTAAGGCATATGTCGAAAATTTGCCCCATTAGAACTATTGGTCCCTTGTTATTCAATGACCCTAAAATCGTTAGCACCATTCGTGGTGATTGCACAAAAATCGAGGAGGATTGCATCGAGTGGCTTGACTCGAGGCCAACATCTTCAGTTGTTTACATTTCATTTGGTAGTGTTGCAGTTCCTGATCAAGAACAAGCAGATGAGATCGCGTTTGGACTATTAAATTCGGGGATATCTTTCTTATGGGTCATGAAGCCACCCCCTGCCTATTCTGTTTTTCAGCCTGTTGTGTTACCTGATGGTTTTCTTTCGAAAGTCGGTGGGAAGGGGGAAAATAGTGACATGGTGTCCACAAGAACAAGTCTTGTCTCACCCTTCTGTCGCCTTTTTTCTCACACATTGTGGATGGAATTCGTCGATGGAGGCAATTTCAAGTGGCGTCCCCATCATGGCTTACCCTCAATGGGGTGATCAAGCCACAAACGCGAAGTATTTGGTTGATGTATTCAAAATGGGGATCAGATTAAGCAGGGGTGAGAATGGGTGTAAGATATTTACAAGGGAGGAGATCGAGAAATGCTTGCGTGAAGCCACTAGTGATGGTTCGAAGGTAGCAGAGATGAAAGAAAATGCGCACAAGTGGAAGAAACAAGCAGAGGAAGCAGTGGCAGAGCGCGGCTCCTCTGCTATCAATATCCAAGCATTTGTGGATGAGTTGAAAAATATCCATGCCAAGAAACAAGAAGAAAACGCCTAGTGATCGATAGTGTGTGTGTGTGTGCGCGTGTGGAGTTGGTGTTAGTTTGTGTTTTTACCATTTCTAAAGTTCAAGATGCACACTTGAAAGATTGTTCATTCCAAGTTTAACTTCAACCTATTACATAAATATTGAATTTATTTGTTATTTACATTTATGTTCGATCCTCAAAGTGTGTTAATCTATGGTTAGAATGTTGCCCCGTGGATTTCTTCAACGATAAAAGTAATACAACGCGAGATGTGTTTTAGACGCCCTTCATGAATCACACATCCGAAATGTAAACAAAACTAAGTTTGGTATGACTTAATTAAGAGATTGTCCTTGTCAATTCCAAGTCTAAATTTAACTTATTATATACATGTTGAAATAAATAGAGGGGGTGAAAGAAGAAAAGAGAAAAGAAACCAAATATATACCATTGTATAAGCAACTCCTCTCTTCTTCCGCAACAACTTTTTTTCTTTTTTGATTGAGAAATTTATTGAGCTAAGTTGACTTACTAAAACAATATTAAGGGACAATCCAAAATTCATGGATCTTGTTTCCCTAAAATATCCAAGTTAAACTATTGCAAGTTATTATTAAAATTAATCTTCATTTGCCTAAATTGTTTTGTCCTTAAATCTTTTTTTCCCTTTGGCATATCCAACCTAACGTGTTGCTTTGGGTTCAATCTTGTGCTTGCTTTTCGATATATTACCATTATCATTTCAACTCTGTACCCTTTCCAAGTGAATCCGAACCTGAAAAGGACATTGTCCTACCTAACATGCCTGTTTTGAGATACGATGAACTGCCTACGTTCCTACTCCTGTCGAGTCCTTTCCAAGCGTTGAAACGCGTTATTTTGGATCAACTCCACAACTTGTCCAAACCTTTTTGCATACTGGTGGACTCATTCCAAGAACTTGAAGAGGAGGTGGTAAGTCATATGTCGAAAATTTACCCCATTAGAACTATTGGTCCCTTGTTATTCAATGACCATGAAATTTCTAGTCCCACGAACGTTCACATTCGTGGTGATTGCATGAAAATCGAGGAGGATTGTATTGAGTGGCTCGACTCAAAACCTCATTCTTCAGTTGTTTACATTTCATTTGGTAGTATTGCAGTTCCTGATCAAGAACAGGTAGATGAGATCGCGTTCGGGTTATTAAATTCAGGGATATCTTTCATGTGGGTCATGAAGCCACCCTCTGAATATTCTGTTTTTCAGCCTGTTGTGTTACCTGATGGCTTTCTTTCGAAAGTCCGTGGCAGGGGGAAAATAGTGAAATGGTGTCCACAAGAACAAGTCTTGTCTCATCCTTCTACCACGTTTTTTCTGACACATTGTGGATGGAATTCATCGATGGAGGCAATTTCAAGTGGTGTCCCCATCGTGGCTTTCCCTCAATGGGGTGATCAAGTCACGAACACAAAGTATTTGGTTGATGTGTTCAAAATGGGGACTAGATTAAGGAGAGGTGAGAATGGGAGTACGATAATTACAAGGGAAGAGATCGAGAATTGCTTGCGTGAAGCCACTAGTGATGATCCAAAGGCCACGGAGATGAAAGAAAATGCGCGTAAGTGGAAGAAGAAAGCTGAGGAGGCAGTTGAAGGACGCGGTTCGTCAGACAAAAATATGCAAGCATTTGTGGATGAACTGAAAAAAATCCATGCCAAGAAACAAGAAGAAAATGTCTAGTCTTGTTTAACTACATTCATTTCAAGTGTATAATTCAATCTATGGGACTATATGATTGAGTATGTTGTTGTTTTTCTGCTTTCTATCGCACGTTTCTACTATTTGTTTATATAGTATGCGAACTCAAACAAATGGAAAGTGGCTATGAATAATTAGTTTCATGAAAGGGGTCGTTCACGTCAGGAATAGAAAGGTCATTAAGGATGTACTTTATTTTCCTTCTGTTCATCTAGATTGTGTTGATGTTCAGTGTACCACTTGTCTAGTGTGATCTATGCAAGCCTACATAGAGTACAAGATCGAAAAGAATGCATTGAATTCCGGTCATATGTTTGTATATAAAATTATATGGATAAGCATCTCTTTAAATTAGAAATAAACAACATCTAGTGGCTCTTAAGCATGAGATGTTCCTCATCAGCTGACACAGGATTTTCAAGGAAACATACTTATCTAGATGAGGTCAATGGACGATCAAAAAAGCTCAACGACCTAGGCTAGTGACCTTCATTGCACTTTGAAGGAGCGTCCAACTAAGGTTGGCCCAAGTGGTCGAGTCTATGTCATAATTTGTGGTCGAGTTCTATAAAATTAAACAAGTAGACATACGCGTTTTACGTGATAATTTACGTCGTATGTGGCATCCTACACATCATGTCACGTGGATGTATGTGTCTACTTTTTCAACTTTATACAAGTTTAAGTATCTATTTGTGCACTTGCAAAATTAAAGGATATAAATATCAATTAAGATCAAGTTAAAAGACACGTGTATGTATTATATTAAATATTATACCCACAAATAATACAATACAATAAAAAAAAAAGGAAAGTCAATGATCCAAATAGAGTTTGTTTAGAAGTAATTACTTAGTTGATTGTGACATAACTAAAACTCATTTGATCAAGTTGTAGAAAAGTTAAATTAATAATCAATTAACTAACCCACCGAATCAAATCGAGTGCCAAAAAGTCAAACAAACCGACTTTTAATTACCTATTGTTTCGCGTATGGTAATGAATTGTATTATTTTAATATTATGATTTGCTATGTATTGGTCATGTATAAGATAAGTATCAAAAAAAATAATCAAAATTAATACATATATTATTTTGTCTAATACTTTTTACCGAACGACCCTTGAAGTTGTTCAAAATTTTGAAGACTTGATGTTGTAGAGCCAATAATCCCGAGGTAAGTCTTTTAAGATCAAAGCGAGTGTTATTTGGCAGATTAGAGTTATTCAAATATTAGTAATACATGAATTAGTTAGGAGAAAATATGTATTATTTATACAAAGTTTAGTTATTCATGAATCATATATTGATTATTAATATTTAATATAGTACATATTCCACATTCTATATAGCTGCATAAAATAATACATACATTTTTTCATAATTTATGCATTTATTAATTATGCGGATTTCCGAATTGCAAATCAAATAATATCATATATTAACCTAAGATCTAATACACACATAACGACACTTTGACTTTTCTTCACTTCTTGGCCAAGGGCTAAGTCAAAAGTCTTCTTAAATTACTTGTTTTTAGTACGTACTCTTTAATTTCTCATTAAAAAAAAATAGGGTACATTTTTTTATGATTTCAATTAGGAACATGATAAGAAGTTACAATAAAGACTATGAATAAATAGTGAAAAAAGGTGAAGTCTTGTTCTTCATTAAGTCTTTAGCAATTATAACTAATATTCTTCAACAATAATGTCACACACTTTTTCTTCTGAAATTCACAAGTACGGTGCATTTCTGAGTTTTAGAGGTGAAGATACATGAAGAACATTCGTGAGTCATCTCTATAACGCTTTAATACAAGGAAGAATTGATGTTTTCAAAGACGATGAGCGTCTAGAAACCGGAAAATCAATTTCTGACGAACTACCAAAAGCCATAGAAGAGTCTAAATTTGCTATAGTGATATTTTCTGAAAGCTATGCATCGTCAAAATGGTGTTTAGATGAACTTGCACACATTATAAAGTGTCGAAAGGAATTGGATCAAATCGTAATTCCTATTTTCTATAATGTGAATCCATCAGATGTGCGTCATCAAACTCAAACTTTTGCTGAGTCTTTTTCCCAACATGAGGAAAAATACAAAGACAATATCGAGAAGATTCAAAGATGGAGGGATGCATTTGCGGAGTCTGGGAAAATATCAGGGTATCATTTGCAAAATTACAAGTAAGATTACTTCTCTTTGTCTTATTAACTGTCAAATCAAATGTGCCATATAAATTGAGTCAAAGAGAATATTTAATTTGATTTCTAAAGTTCGATCTAAATAGTTGTTCTTGTCATTGTTACATTTAGGGATGAGGCAGATTGCATAAAAAAGGTTGTTAAAAGACTAATGTCAGTATTACATATTGAATCTGATGACGATGATGACGATGATGTCCGTGCCTTCATACGGGGCATGGACAATAATTCTCCAATTCTTATCGATGGAGGCAAAATGGTATTGTTTTTTTTATAATTTGAATCCTCTTACTGAAATTTGATAGATATCTATCTTATCACGTCCATTAAGTACCTTGTTGCTAGTTTCAAAATTGTGTTAGTTGACCCTTGAAAATATTGTTTCAATTATCAATACAAAATCCTATTTAGTAAGTAATTATATAATGATCAATAGTCTTTAAAATACCAAATATTATGTATACATGTTTTTTTTATAAATGATTAATTCACACTTGACATATGTCCATAACTAAAATTACATATTCAATTATAGTTTTATTTTTTTATTGCGTTATTTTCGTAAATACTTGAATTTAGATTAATAAATAACTAATTGTCAATGAAAAGGACCAATGTCTATGTGTACCGTGTTACGATGTATGAGTGGAATTGTGGAAGTCGTCCATGACCGATCCAACCCAACCTGATAAGAAAGGGCGAGTGACTAGCCTGCCCCATTCATAAGGGTTGTTGGGTGGTCAGGGTCCACTACTAGCTTGGCCCATTCATTAGGATTGTTGAGTGGTCTCTATAGGACCTTTTTCGATTTGTTTTCTAATTTATGATGTCCTATGTTTGTGATTTGTCTTGTTAAATAGAGTTTTTCGTTAGATAAGAAGAGGAAGAAATGTTTTATGATAGCTGCAAGGGGACTTGATATTGAATGGAGTCATAAACTAAAGTATTGGAAATGGTTATCTCACTCTGACTCCAGGTTTTATATATTCGCAGTCCCTTTCCATATTTTAGTATAAAATTTGAAAGAAATCAGTAATAATTATTGAGTAAGGTTAATTTTTTTGTAGATTCGCGGAAGTGGCTAAACTCAAGAAGGTCTATTGGCTTGAAATTCAAGGCAAAATTGATTCTCGAAGACTGTCAAAAAGAACCAAATATGTTGCTTATCTAGTGTTCAAATTGGAAAATCAATTCTATGGCCTTGAAACTGTTAATGCAGTTGTTAGATTTGTTGATTCTATAAGTAAAAAGGATGCGGAGAAACAAGCTAGTGTTGTGCATTTTGCAGGACGAGGACCTAGAGAAACGCTACCCTTCAAAAGAGTTGATGGATGGATGGAATTAAAAATGGGAGACTTTTTCAATGAGGCGGGAGAAGACGGATATGTTGATGCACGATTAATGGAAACTAAGAAACTAGATGAAAAAAGTGGCCTCATTGTTCAAGGAGTGGAGTTTCGTCCCGAATGAAGAAGAGAACAATCCTCCTCTTACTATGCCCTTTTGTTTTGGTCTCATTATTTTGATTGATTCAAGTACTTTTATATATGGCCCTTCTAAAGGAACGTACTGATAGAGAGAATTGAATTTGATTAGACAATCTGTGTTTGTAGTAAGGTCGATTTTTTAAACATTTTAATAAGATTCTACAAGATTTACTTTTTTTACTGTCCAAAAGTGGCGCTACATTTTTGTTTTAGAAGAGAGTATAACAACATTATGAGTATCTATTTCTTCCCGAGTAACTTAAAACAAATCAAAGGTTAAATACTATGATCTTTCCATCTCCAATTATTTGTCATGATTTTTTAAAATAACCATCTCGATTTTTTTGCCATTTTAGAAGTTCAAGATAAAATTAATTATTTTTTTCATATTTTAGCTAGAGAGTAGTAATATTCTTGAAACTACAAGCACTTCAATACATAAATAGAGAAAATATTCAATTTAAAGAGATTATATAAATAAATAGAGAAATTGTATCTAATTGCGTAGGCGGGCATTATTTATGGGAGGGTGCCCACCTAGTGTCATTGTGCATGTATGAGATCTCGCACAAGTAATATCATATTTGATGACTTGAAATACGAAGATGATAAGAAGTTCCCATAAAGACTATGAATAGTTTTTACGATGCTTTTCTGAATTTAGAGGTAAAGATACGCGTAAAACAATAATTTTAACTGTCCTAATTAAATATTAATATGGTCATCTTCAAACTTTTACATTGACATTCGATACACACAACTCCAATTAATTGGTCCATATTGAAGATATCCATTACTAGGCCTACCAATTAAATAGTACTAGAGAAATTCCATCCTCAAATTTGGTGGAAAATATCAAACATTAATCTTTCAATGTCATAACAACTTAGAGTAATTAATTAATAATCTTATCAGATTACCATAATATTTTGTTATTCAATAGTACTATATATTTAGTTTAGTTTCTAACGTAATAACTAAAATAGGGGACCTTTGTAGTTTTGTATTGTGGCACCTTTATCGAAACGATATGTTATTTGTCTCTGATTGAGCCTGATATATGCTAAGGCAAAATTTTCATCAGAAATTTAATCATTTACTATATTTGAAATCGATGATATTGTATATATGCGTCGCAATAGACGATGGTTTAATTTAATTATTAGTCCAAGAAAAATCATCGTTTAGTGTATTGCACACCAATTTTTCAGCCCAGCAGACTGTTTTAGAGAAAAACTCCATTCCTTTTTAGTTGTCATGGTTTTCTTTTTTAGATTCAAACGATAAGAACTTTGACTAACATTTTACGATGTATTTTTTATCATATTGATATGCAAAAAATTGCAATTTATAGTAATTTTCATATAGTTTTTGAATATCTAAATTTTTAATTTAAAATATCAAATTAATATAATCTAATTTAACTTTGAAAATTAGTCAAATTATTTTTCGAAAAGCGCAACATTACAACGAAAAAGGAATGGTGGGAGTATCAAACATATGGTATTACTTAATTGTGAGAGATCTAATATACGACGACGTACACTTAGAGGTCGTTTGAGAGGATGTATAAAAATAATGTTAAATAGAGTGTATTATATTAGTTATGCTTGTATTCACTAAACATAAATTATTTTTATGCATTGTTTGGTTTGGTGTACAAAAAATAACATGAATTGCATAAAAAATATTTATTTATAAAAATATCCTCCACAATTATGATGGAAAATATGTAAAAAGGAGTTTTGAGGGGTAATTGAGTTTTTAACCATACTAATGCATGTATTGAATCTCTGTGTTACTAATACCTAGAAATCAATAATATAGTAATACACTCTTCCATACACAATAAAGTGTATAACTTACGTGTGCAAACAAGATACTACTAATACACAGAACTAATGCGTGCATTATTTTTGCTAATACACTCTACCAACACCGCAAGATTTTTGTTGGCTTTTTTGGCCAAGGGCCAAGTCAAAAGTCTTCTTAGCTGTATTTTGTACGACCTCATTAATGAAAAATGTAGGTTACATTTTATGACTTTGAAATAGAAACATTATAAGACCATAAAGACAATGAATAAACAGTGAAAAAATTAGATGAAGTGCTGTTTTTCATTAAGTTGAGAATTTCCCAATTAGTTTTTAGCAACTGTAACTAATATTCTTCAACAATGTCACACTCTTCTTCTTCTAAAATTCAAAAGTACGATGCTTTTCTGAGTTTTAGAGGTGTAGATATACGTAGAACATTTGTGAGTCATCTCTATAACGCTTTAATACAAGGAGGAATTAATGTTTTCAAAGACGATGAACGTCTAGAAACTGGAAAATTAATTTCTGATGAACTACCAAAAGCCATAGAAGAGTCTAAATTTGCTATAGTGATATTTTCTGAAAGCTATGCATCGTCAAAATGGTGTTTAGACGAGCTTGCACACATCATAAAGTGTCGAAAGGAATTTGACCAAATCTTAATTCCTATTTTCTATAATGTGGATCCATCAGATGTGCGTCATCAAACTCAAATTTTTGCTGAGTCTTTTTCCAAACATGAGGAAAAATATAAAGATGATATGGAGAAAATTCAAAGATGGAGGGATGCATTTTCTGAGTCTGGGAAAATAGTAGGGCACCATTTGCAAAATTACAAGTAAGATTATTTTTCTTTTTCTTATTACTCCCCCTCCGTCACAATATAGATCTCTTAATTTGATTGGGCACAGAATTTAAAAAAAAATAAAGAGAAATTTTGTTGTTTTAAACTTGTCGTGTAGATTGTTGGAATTGAAAAACACACTAAATATAGAAAGAGAATCTCTTATGGACAAATAAAAGAGGAAAGTGAGACACTTAGCTTGCGTTTAGACATGCAATCTGAAGTCTTGATTTCATTTCAAATCAGTGTTTGGGCATGTGATTTGGAATCCCAAATTCTCCATATAAAAAAAAACATGATTTGAAATTCCAAATCATGTTTTTTGGAGATTGATTTCAGTTTCTGATCTCCAAATCTCATATTCAAATATTGATTTGAAATCTTGACTTCATATCGCATATTCATATGCAATCTTAAATTGGGATATAAGGAATAGTATTTTTCGAGCTTTGCCCTCATGGGCAATTCAAGAAACATAGTGCCTTTTATGTTGTGCAAGAATAATTAAAATTAATAAAATAAGGTATATATAATATCATAAAGGGAGTATACCCTAAATATATATTCTATAATCTTGTATTCTCTTTGTGTCTATTTATGTGACACTTTCTTTTAGTCCATTCAAAAAAGAATATCACCTTTATATTAATAGAAGGAATTTAACTTTAAATTTTCTTTTGTACCCTTAAACAAATGACTTACAACTCCACACAAGTGTTTAAGGTTCTTTTTAGATCATAAATTTCAAATTTTGTTTTTTTCTTTCTTAAATTTTGTGTCAAATCAGATGATGTCACATAAATTGAGACAGAAAAAAGTTCGATTTCTAAATTTCGATCTAAATAATTGTTCTTTTCATTGTAACATTTAGGGATGAGGCAGATTGCATCAAAAAGGTTGTTGACGAACTAATGTCATCATTACATATTAAATCTGATGACGATGGCGATCGGGGCATGGACGCTGAATCTCCAATTCTTATTGATGAAGGGAAAATGGTATTGTTTCTTTTATAATTTGAATTCATGACTAGCCTTCCCCATTCATAAGGCGTTGTTAGGTGGCCTGGGCCTGGAACCAGGCCACCAAACATGTAGTTAATTATTAGCATGAATACAAATAAGTCTGACTAATTGTACAATGAAAATGACCCTCATGGCTATTGATGTGTTTTATGTATGGTATAATGCGCGGCCAGTTGTAGCTAGTCATGTCAAGTGAGCTGGATTGGCATGTGCTGAGCCCAATCATACACCATAAGAATAGGCCAGACCCGTTACTAGCCCGGCCCATTCATAAGGGCTATTAAGTGGTCTATAACACCTTTTTCAAATTGTTTTATAATTTATAATGTCTTATGTTTGTGATTTGATATGTCAAATAGAGTTTTTCACGAGATAAGAAGACGGGAAAGAAATGTTTCATGATAGCAGCAAGAGGACTTGATATTGAATGGAGTAATACACCAGACTATTGGGAATGGTTACCTCACTCTGACTCCAGGTTTTATATATTTGCGGTATCTTATCTTTCTATGTACTAGTATAAAATTTGAAAGAAATTAGTCATAATTATTGATAAAAGTGAATTTTTTTGTAGATTCGGGGAAGTGGCTAAACTCAAGTGGGTTTGTTGGCTTGATATTCGAGGCAAAATTGAAACTCGAAGACTATCAAAAAGAACCAAATATGTTGCTTATCTAGTGTTCAAATTGGAAGATAAATTCCATGGCCTTGAAACCGTTAATGCAGTTGTTAGATTTGTTGATTCTATGAGTGTAAAAGAAGCGGAACAACGAGCTAGTGTTGTACATTTTGCAGGACGAGGATCTAGAGAGACACTACCCTTTAGAAGAGGTGATGGATGGATGGAATTAAAAATGGGCGACTTTTTCAATGATGCAGGAGAAGACGGAGATGTTGATGCGCGATTAATGGAGACTCAACGTCTCGAAGCAAAAGGTGGCCTCATTGTTCAAGGAGTGGAGTTTCGTCCCGAATGAAGAAGAGAAGAATCCTCCTCTTACTATGCCTTATTGTTTTGGTCTTATTTGGATTGATTCAAATACTTTTATATATGGCCCTTCTAGATGAACGTATTAATCGAGAGAATTGAATTTGATTAAACAATGTGCCGTTGGTAGTAAAGTCGATTTTTTAAAATATTTTAATATGGATTCTATAAAATTTAATTTTGTTCAAAGATCGAGCTTATTTGCATCGACATTTAGTTGTTTAAAAAAAAATATCATGTACAATAACAAAGTGAGTTGATGCATACACCAATTGTCTATAGTATCAATTTCTGCACTCAGTTTCAATAAACTCTTTTCCTCCCTCACTATTCCGAAAGGCAAAAGACTTGTCCAATCTATTGTCATATGATTAGGAGGTAAGAGGTTTGAGATGCAGAAACATCCTCTCACAGAAATGCAAGATAAAATTGCGTATAGTACATTATTATGATCAGCCCTTCCCTAGACCCCTCGCATAACGAGAGCTTAGTGCACCGTCATACCCTTTTAAAATTTTATTTTCTATTGTGCAACTATTCTTTTGCCTTTTACTAAAGAATATTGTGATCTCCCTGCAATCAATGTCATACGCCAATTTTTGGAGGGGTTCTCTTCATTGAGTGCCCCCAACAATTCTAGTTTCAATTTTTTTGGTGTAATATTATACAACAAAAAACGGATTTAAGATATGTATATAATTAGTGTATTTTATGAATATTCAAAAATCGTATCAAAAAGATTTTGTTAAATATTTGGTTAATTAGTATAGTTTAAGTTATGGTGTATGTTTTGAGTTAATTAATTTATAATTAAGTTAATTATTTTATTTTGTTAAGATGAAGAAGCTTGTTAATTAATTAATGTTAATTCATCATATCTAAGCATATCTACCTCTATGGTCTACTGTCACATATGTCAAGAAATGATGAATTAATGCATAGATATTGTCATTTATTAATATTGTCCGCAGATTGTTTTATTAATAACTTTGATAGTCATAAAACTCTTACTCATACTTTCTTTATTTCCATTTGTTTTGCCGCATGTGACATTTATTCGAGTCCATTTTGGACTCCATCCCTGCTTTTCGTTAAGTTGAAATCCATTATCGAGTCAACTTCATCATTCCAAGAACCGAAAACCGATTTACAAGGCAACGGAAGCAAAATACAGGTCTTCGGAGCGAAAAAGTAGGCGGTATACATGATATACAACAGATTCTACACAGTATATATACTGATATACAATGTGATACAGCCCCATATACAACAAAAATAGGGTCAGAAGCCCACCTAAAAGTCCAGCAAAGTATTTTGTCGTAATTAGGCCAAAAGCCCATCTACTTTGGCAATTATTTTAGGGAAAATTGTATAAAATAGCAAACTATTAATTCAAATTAAATGTTATAGCCATAGTTTATTTTAATTGTAATTCGCAGCAATCATCCCCTTTTTTTGCCATCTGATTCGATATACAACTAGCCATTTTCGGTATACAATTAGCCATTTTATACATTTCGATATAAAATGTGTTTGTGTTTGTATAAAGCGAGAGAAAAGTGTATATACAAATACAAATACATATATTTTCGTCTTATACACTTATCATTATACAAATAAAAATTTTATTATACAAATTACAATGTATAAATGAATTTATACAAAACTGAACAATTTGTATAAAATTGAATGTTTGTAGTGAATTATACAAATCAAAAGCTCCATAGCAAACATAAAAATTGCTATGGACGCAATTATGCAAACTAAGCTATAACATATAAATATAATTTTTATGTTTGTTATATGTGAAAGTTTCTCATTATTTTATTAGTATTTAGGATAGGTACAAAGTGTTGGACCGAAAGCCCAAAGAAATCAGAATTAGGCCCAAGTACTTTCCCAGGCGGATAGAAAATCAGACTTGGGCCCAATACTTCTTCCTCTTTATATTTTAATGAGCAACTTTCACATATAGCAAACACAAAAATCATATTTGTATGTTATAGCTATAGTTTGCATAATTGTGCTCCATAGCAAACATAAATATGTATATTTCGCTATACATCAGTTGTATAATCTGTTTCTGTTTCGGTATACATATACAAAAGATCAATTGTATAATCTGTGTTTGTATAAAGCGAGAAAGAGAGAAAAACAAAAGAAAACTAGGCAGGGGAATATCGTATTTATATAATCATAAGTGTATAGGACAAAAATATAAGTATTTGTATTTGTATATACAATTTTCTCTCGCTTTATACAAACACAAACGCAATGTATACATTTGTGTTTGCATAAAGTGAGAGTGGCAAGCGAGCTCTGGGAGAGGGGAACGAAAATATGTGTATATATACAATTTTCTCTCGCTTTATACAAACACAAACGCATAGTATACATTTGTGTTTGTATAAAAGCGAGAGAGGCGAGGGAGATTGCCAGCGAGAATGAGAGTGGCGAGCGAGATTCACCGAAATAGCAACAGTTTGCTATGGGGTACAATTAAATCAAACTATATTTATAGCATTTAATTTGAAAATAGTTTGCTAATTTATACAATTTTCCCTATTTTAATTTGCTCATTTTGTTATTTGATTAATTGTTGACAAATCTTAAAGTTTCAACTTGATTCAAATTCCCCAAAAATTAGTCATTTTATTATTAGTTATTTCGGAAACCCCTTATTTGAAAATTTCAAGTTTTTCTTTACTTAGTCATATTTAAGTAAAAATGTGCTCCTTTCAAATTCAAGTTTGTTTATTTCTTTAAAGCAATTAATAGCATGTCTACTTTCTTTTTTTTAGCCAAATAATTTAAATTATCGGATAACCGCGTGTTAGCGGGCAATTCAAGTGCTTTCAAACCTTCCTGAAATGTTAATGTGAACCCCGAACCCCCTTTGGTATTTTCAAACGATTTTATATGTTTAAGTCTTTTGAAATTTATGAGTTTTCTTGATTTTTCTTTAAAAATTAAGTGTCGACTCTAATATAAAATTGGTTTTTCTTTAAAGGTAAGTTAAATCGATTTTTTATAAAATAAGTCTTATATTTCTCTTTTTAAATTCGTCAAACATCCATAAATAATATAATACAATATTAAAAATACTTATTAAAGTCAATAATCCAAATAGAGTTTGTTTAGAAGTAATTACTTAGTTGATTGTGACATAACCAAATTAATATAACGCTGTAATTCAAGGAAGAATTGATGTTTCCAAAGACGAAGAAGGTCTAGAAACCGGGAGATCAATTTCTGATGAACTACCTAAAGCCATAGAAGAGTCTAAATTTGCTATAGTGATCTGAAAGCTATGCATTGTCAAACTGGTGTTTATACGAGCTTACACACATTATAAAGTGTCGAAAGGAATTGGACCAAATCGTAATTCCTATTTTCTATAATGTGGATCCATCAGTGCACCATCAAACTCAAACTTTTGCTGAGTCTTTTTCCAAACATGAGGAAAAATTCAAAGACGATATCGAGAAGATTCAAAGATGGAGGGATGCATTTGCGGAGTCTGGGAAAATATCAGGGTATCATTTGCAAAATTACAAGTAAGATTACTTTTCTTTGTCATATTAAATGTCAAGTCAAACGTGCCATATAAATTGAGTCGAAGAGAATATTTAATTAATTTCTAAAAGTTCGATCTAAATAATTGTTGTTTTCATTGTTACATTTAGGGATGTGGCAGATTGCATTAAAAAGGTTGTTGACAGAATAATGTCAGTTTTATGTATTGAATCCGATGACGATGATGTTCGTGCCTTCATACGGAGCATGGAATCTCCAATTCTTATAGATAGAGGCAAAATGGTATTGTTTCTTTTAAAATTTAAATCCTCTTAGTGAAATTCGATAGATATCTATTTTATCACATATAAAAAGTAGAGAGGTCGGTTCATTAATATAACTACCTAGTTTCAAAATAGTGTGTCAGTTGACCCTTGAAAATATTGTTTCAATTATCAATACAAAATCCTATTTAGTAATCAATAGTTTTTATGTACCAAAATATTACATATGCATGTTTGTTATAAATGATTGATCATTCACGCTTGACATATATATATATATATAAAAACTAAAATTACATATTCAATTATAGTTCTTTTATTGTGTTATTTAATATGATCATTAATATCTATGTGTATACCGTGTCACATGTATGGGTGAAATCAGTGGCGGACCCAGAAATTTTACCAAGTGGGTTCAACATATAAAAAAAAATGAAGCAATATTAAATGTTGCAGGTGGGAATCGTACCCGCGATGCATCAGTCAAATTGTAACCACTTTGTCTCTGGGCTACATGTTACTACTGATTTACGTGGGGTCAAATTAATTATATAGTGTGTTTTGTTTCAAAAAACAAATTGAATATATATGTATATACAATGTATTTTTTTGACGAAGTGAATTCATATGAACCCACTTGCAACAAGGTAGGTCCGCCCCTGGGTGAAACTGTGGAAGTCATGTCAAGTGGGCAGGGTCAATCCATGACCGGTCCAACCTCATTCATAAGGGTTGTTGGGTGGTATGGGGCCAGGGCCAGGCCACTCAACATGTAGTTAATTATTGGAAAAATTACTTAAATACACAACACTTCTTTACCTATTCTCAATATTTCCCTACTCTTTTACTAAAATACAAAAATCCCTTATTTTTCCCCAATTCAACTTAACCGGATACTTTATTAGTTTAAGTATCCGCCCGTTATTAATTAAAGTATTCGCGCTGCTATATTATGCATCCGCCCGTTAATTAAGTTTTTGTGCTGCTAACAACTTAATAATTTAAGTATCCGCCGGTTATTAATTAAAGTATCCGCGCTGCTATATTATGCATCTGCCCGTTAATTAAGTATCCGTGTTGCTAACAACTTAATAATTTAAGTATCCGCCCGTTATTAATTAAAGTATCCGCGCTGCTATATTAAGTATCCACACTGCTATATTATGTATCCGAAAAACACTAAAAAAAGGGATTTTTGGTAATTAATGAAAGAGTAGGG